CCTATATACTCAATTGCCGAACTCACGGAGCCTTAACAACTCCGGGGCCAGAGAGCCGAACCAAACCCACGGAGCTTCGACAACTCCGTGGGAAAGAAATTGCCGAACCCGTGGAGCCTTAACAACTCCGGGGCCCAAGAACCGAGTTTGTTGTAGTCCTCCAACAAGGATTTAAGTGGAGCTGAACCTGGAAACTGTCCAGCCTACACTGCGACCATCTTGGGTGTAAGTAAATAATCTTTAAATCAACCACTACGCCTCTGTGACTAATTCTAGCCTGTGCGTGCCTTGCCGCCGCACGGTCTCCTCTGACCCCGCGTGCCCAGGCTGCTGGCCACAGCCCGCGTGCGCAAAGACGGGTCCGCATATCGCTCCCGGCTCGCACACGGCGACATGGACGGGATCGGGAGGCGGCCCGCACAGAGGGGAGGCATCCAGGAGGAGACTGGGGGGAGGAGGGCATGGGATGCTAAAATAGTTGACCATAACACCAGTCCTGCCTAGGGCTGTGGAGCTGTCCTGCTATGCCTCTTGAGGCTATTAGGTTGTAGGATGTAGAAAAGATCCATGATAATGGAGACTGTCTAGAAGGGCAGACACTATACCTGCCTAAATAAAATGCAGCATGAGCCTATCTTGGAAGGCATTGCACAACAGAGCGAGCTGGACAAACCAGTAGCAAAAAGCAGGAACCTCATAAAAATTTTTTAAAAATGTTAGTAAATTGGAACAAATAGATAAGGATTAGAGACAATAACAGACAGATAAGACACAATGAAGGCAAGTAAAGAAGGAAAGGAAAGTCAATGGGAGTTTGCCAAACAAAAGTTTAGTGAAAGTGTGTAACAACTTCATAGGTTCCTTGGTCTGCCTATGTCCTTAGACCAACACGGCTACAACCTACACCCCTGTAACAAGTTCACGGTTTGGCTGAATTTTTTATTTCATCCAGCACAATTTACTTGAATAGATAAAAATGCCTGAAGTACCTTAGTTATCCTTACACAACTAAATAAAAGGCTGAAGTGTGTCCGTCAAGACCTCTCTTTAAAATTCCATTTGTGAATAAAATCAGAGCAATGAAAATTTAGCTGGATTTTCCTTATTTCTATATTTCTCTACTGTGTGAAGTTAATCAGAAGGGATTCCAGGCTGAAACACCCTTCTTTTCTACTTTGATTTGGAACAGAAATACGTCTTAATATACAAAGATTCTTTCCTGTAGGCTGAGAAACATACGCTATAAAGTCACTTCATTTAACAGAATTGGAAGCAATTCAAATGAAACCTTTAAAAACACTGATTTAAAATCAGAAAGAAAAACTCATGCGCCTTTATTCCCCTTTCCCCCCAAATAAAAACATAGGAGAAGGAAATTCCTAGATACCTCATATCTCCAAATTTCTTGCTGATGACTGTTCCTACATTGCTGATAGCAGCTGTTGCCTTTTGTCCTGCATGGCTCAAAGTCTCATGTGTCTTCTTATACCTAGAAATAAAAACAAAACAGTGCTGAGTAGCTGTTAAATTCAAAGTTTCTATGAAAAAACAAATTTTGTAAAATATCAACTATTCATGATTAGGAATAGTTTTGAAATAGAAAACAAAGGGGGGTACACTTAGGAAAACACAGTCCCTGCTACAGTCTATAAAGCAGTAGTTCTCAACCTTTTTAGATCCAAGGCATCTCTTGTTAGACCCAAGGCATCCCCCAGAAAATGCCAGCTCTTAGTTTTTACTCATTTTCTGACTACAGAAAAGTAATATAGCAATTCCTCTGCTGCAAAGAATTCAGAGACTGCAACAAGGTAGAAATCTCTGGGTTTATCTTGTGAATCATATTTGTACACATAATAATGCTAACGCTGTGTGGCACCCCTGACACCCTTAAAAGGATTTCAGGGCACTAAAGAGTGCCATGGTATCCTGGTTGAGAATCACTGATATAAAGACAGAGACGGACAAAAATGCAGTAGGGAGGAATTCACTAAACTCCAGGGTGATAACCAGGGATCCTGGTTTTCTCTGATTAAAAAAAAATCCCCACTTTTCGGGTTTAAAAAAGTAACCCAAAATCCACATTTTCAAAAATGTGGATTTTGGGTTACATTTTTAAATTGAAAATTGGGGATTTTTTCTTTATCAGAGAAAACCAGGATCTGTGGTGATAACTGGTATATATATTGATATTTCTCTTTTAGTTTTATTTTATATAGAGATATTTGAATAAGTACTTGTATGTAAAAACTACATCTAGCTCTTTTGTGCTCCTTTATGTTGCACTTTCTGTATAGTTTAATCAGCTGTTTTTTTATAGTGTCTTATTAATATCCTTAAAACAATACATTTTTTTACTTATGGTTTGATTCTACTCCACTGAAGTGAAAGGGAGTTTTACCCTGCATTTTAATGGGTGTAGGAACAGCATTTCTTGCAAAGGAAGTGGCTTAATTATCTGGATCCCTCCCTGTATTATAAGAGTGTCAAAACAATTTGTTCACATTTGATTATTAGATAACTATTTTACTTGTCTTTGCAATTAAAAAAAATGTTATTCCAATCTTAGGTACTGCAATTTTCATTTAAATACAAAAAGAAAAAAAATGCTTGGGTATTGAAACTTGGCCAACAAGCTGCATATTCAAAGTAATTCTGAATCTTTTCTTTCAATCACCCCTGGGATGTGTGGCAAGTGTGTTCACACACACAATCCTCTTAATCCACACACTGGTGATTTTTAAGACATGCTTTGACTTGTCATTACTTGCTTTTCCCTTCAATGCTTTAAACTGTTTCATAATTCGTAAGTTAATCATTCCTCTTTTCTGCACCAACAGTTCTTTTGCTGAGTAGACTAATTCTGATTATATTAAAAGCTTCCTTCTGTAGGGTAAAACATTGTGAAGCAAATTAGCCCACAATTAGAAATACTGACCTAACAACAAAATGACAGCAAGCATACCTTATAAAATGATATCTACATCTGCAGAAAAGAACAGTATAAATGTATGTCAAAGCATTTTAAACTATTATTTCACTGATCTTATACTTTTTTGTGTGTATTGCTGCATACGTACAACAACATACACTAGAAATCAGTTAAGGAACCCCATTGCATAAATCCTTGAGCAGCATATCATTTTCTTGTCTACTATAAACAGGAAAATAACTTGGCTCTAGAGAGGCAAGGGGAGGGAGGAAATTAAGTAAAATATTAGAATTTTCCACTCAGTGTGTCACGCTAACCTCTAAGCTAGGTCTGTTATAGTCCTGATCATATCTACTGTCAATTCTCTAGAGGTAGAATTAAGGCTGCAGGGCAAACCCTGCTCCTTACCCCTCTAAAATCTCAGAAGCCACATTCTATCAAGATGTTCCTATGTGAGCGTACCTGGATTGTATATAGCTACTCGCCCTTAAAAATAAGTGCTTGTCAGGATGAAATTACACATTAGAGTTAGCAAGGCCTACTTCTAAGGAACGTTAGTTTGTGGTTAAGTTAAATAACGCTAGTGATCAGTTCCACTTTTGGGGTTAATACCCTCTCTAATGTGCACTACTCAGACTTGCTGCTAGAGAGTTGGTGAGCAGGGTGGGGCTAGGGGCTGTAAGTCTGCTCCATGATTGCCTTGGACACCAGCTCTCTAACCACAGTATAGGCTGTGGAGGAGGGGGAGAAGCCCCCATAAGTCACTTGGATCACCCCCTCCATAGCCCAAATCACCCTGCTGCCCCACATTAGCCCTAGATCCCCTCTCCACCCCTGGATTTCTTCCCTGCCACCCTGATCAGCTCAAGATGAGCACCGAGAACAGAGGGGGAAGCCCTCTCCCTGCCTGCACTCGGGCTCCCTGCAGCCTATGCCAGTTCCATGCACCTGAATCCAAACCCCACTGGATTCAAGTTCCTAAATCATGCCCTCCACCCCCACTTTCTCCCCTGCCTCCCCTTCAGTTGCAGGGCCTGGATCTGGGTGTGCTGGGGCAGTGTGGTCTGTGAGGACCCCAAGATCAGGTAGGGAGGGAAACACCCCCTTTCTCAGGCTGATTGGGGAAGCAGGGCAGTGATCTGAGGATAGAGGGATTAATAGGGCCAAAAGGGGCAATTGGGGTGGCAGAGGAGCAATCTGGAGGTAGAGGGGGTGATTTGGGGGCCAGAGGGGGCAGCAGCTTCCCACCCACTCTCCCCTTCCCCCCTCCATTC